AACTCCTAGTGGCCTCCAAAAAGCCACTATGCTTTTTCTTGCCTAAAGAAAAAGTTTGCTGTTCTCTTGGTCTCAAGCATGCTTCTTTACACTGCCTTCTTCTAACTTCCTTCACCTAGATGGGAATTACAGATTTTAGTCTGTGCCACACTTGGGAGAAAACATATCTAATTTCATCATCTGTTATGTGCGTCTCCTTTGTGCTCCACGGTTTGTAGTATCTGTTTAGTTGTCACTTTCTGCCACCAGTTCATAAGCTATTTGAAGGCAGGAACAATATCTTGCTCATCATTATGTCTGGTGCCCCTAACACAACATCTGGAGTACAGCGGATGGGCATTCAGACCCCAGGATTACAAAAATGAGGAGATCTAGTAAAAGGAATACCTCAAGTGACATTAGCCTGATGCCATTACGTATTTGAATCACACAACCCTCCTTCTCCACACCCCACACTGATTCCCAGCTCACTGAGCTATATTCTGATTACAATTTGACCTCCAGTCTACACATCCACAGGGAGAGAGTCTGCTGATCCAAAAATGCAAGCATCTCAACCAACCCATTTGCCAGACACTCGCCTTAGAATGAATGAATGAACTGATTCTCTGAGCAGGTTGTGTGTCACCTGCATTGGGGTGAGAAAGCCCTTATTATCCCAACTTAAGCACTTTACAAATTATATGAAATTGGGCAAGAAATTTATCTCCCTGAATGTTAGTTTCTGTGTTTTTAACATTTAGAATTAAATTCAGTAATTGCATATGAAGTGCCTGGCACCAGGTAGTTTTCAATAGGGAATATTTATTATTGTAACAGTTGCATCCTTCTTTCATGTTACATTCATTTGAGTTCACTCCTGTGAGATGGAAAAAGTACTAAGAAGACTGAAGGCTCGACTCAGATCAGGAGATGGCAAACAGTGCTTAGCTGAGTGGCTAGTCTGTCCACTTGCTGTTGCCCTAAATCCAGAATGACTTCAATACAGGAGACAAGACAGAGATGAAAATGAAAGCCCCCAGGTAAGGCTACGGAGAAACATTAACCCAGAGCTCATATTTTTTTTTTTTTTTGGAGCTCATATTTTTAAAAGGACTAAGAGTTTTGTTGTTTTGTTAAAATCATAATCAACAAGAGAGAGAAGTCTCTTTACATGTCCATCCCTCACTATGCATTGGACATCACAGAAGACCAAACATTATCAAATTTGAACCAGACAAGACTCAAATGGGACTTAATACAGAGCTGGGGTAACAGTTTTAATTGCAGAGCTTTGAACTTAATCTACACAGACTATCTCTACTTCCCTTTTCAATGATTCTTTTCCCTGAGGCTTCTCTATGGGTCTTTTTTTTCCCTCATAGTTTAATGAATCTTCTATTGCTTAAAAGAAAACCCTTTATATCTGTCTTGCACTGAATTTGCAAAAATCATTAAAGCTGCAAGAATTCTCTTCCTTTTCAAAGTTTGCAAAACTCCACCTACATTCTCCAGTGTCTTTGCTACATCACAGAGCATGAAGGTCATTGTCTCCTACTGCTGTTTAGAGGACAGCAGTAGGTCAAGGGGGTTTTTAGCCTCTATATGAACTGACTTGGCTTCTCGGCAGCCAAATTACACATTTACAGACAATCTCATTTCTAGTCAATTTTCTGATCTTATGTAAAAACCCATTATATATCTCTATTTCTATCTCTATCTATCTCCAGTTCCTCTATTGGGTTTTGGTGATGCTGAAAGAGAATCACGGTCTCTATTTAATTAGATTCGGGGTCACATAAATTATGGCAGCTAGGAAATGACTGCCACTGCTATATTGCTGCTAGGAAAGCAATAGATGAATTTTATGTGAATGCATAATTGGCATGTTTTTTCAGAGCATTATTTATTTTGGAGAGTGACAAAGGAAAAGCTACATTAGTGGCTCTAAAGGCAAAACATTGGTGATGGCATGTAGACAGGTGGCCTGGGAATGAGCATTTACATCAGAACCTACCCAAAGTCATCCCCAAGGAGCCCTTTAATTATTGCCCTCTGAGTCCTCTCTTTAAAAAAGTTTCTGTCTATCAAAATGCCTTTATTAAGCAATAAATAATTCAACGTTGCTTCTTTTTCCTTAAAGAAAAGCATATATGAAGAGCCTTCAGAGCATTAGCATTAGGGAAGCAGTGCTGCTGCCTAGAATTCATAAATTTCCAGGTAAAAGTACTGAAGTAGGCATTTTAGTCGGGTAAATGCACAATTCCCTTTAGGTTTCCTGAAGTGTTAAAGAAGGCTGCTGGTCCCATAGTTTCTCCTGAAGAGCCCCACGGGTTAGCATCCCTGGCTGGAAACCACTGTCTTAAAGGGCAAGGAGGCAACTTCAGAAAATAATGGGGAAACAATAAGTAGCATGTTCCTACTTAAGAAGGATACAGTTCCAGCACCATTGATCCTGCAGAATGTGCTTGCCTCAGGGAGCTTCTTCACAAAAGCTCTGGTGCATGGAGCAATCTGATGTAGCATTCGGTCACATTTCTCCCCCTTTATCATTGGCTTAGATTAATAATCTGTGCTCTTTCCTTTAATTTCATCTCTTGGATGTTTTCCTCGTTCACTTCTTCACTTCTTTCTCTTCTCCCATTCTAATTTCTTCACTGTACCATTCAGCTTTCTACCATTGTCTCCTATCCCATCCACCTCCAGGGACATAATCCCTCTCCCAAGCATAAGAACCGACTTTTTCTAATAGCCCCCGTTCAGTGTTTCATATTTAACGTCTCCATTTTAGAAGTGGCTCACACGGTTTCTATTACTCTTGAAAAATGTCTATGCGCCAACATGTATATTTTAACACAATTGTTTTTACCACAATCATAATAAAGTACATTAAGTCTCTAGAGACCTCTCTAAAATGTCAATATGCTGCAAGCACCTTATGTCTGTGTCTAAGGAGGGTCATTGCTCCAGAAGGTCCCTGAGGGAAAAGGTGCTTTGGCCAGTGTCTGCCATCATGTGGAGTGAATGGTAAGCATCTCAGCTCTTAGCTTCTGCCAAAGTCCTAACTCCAGTGCCTCTAATTAGATCATCTACCTTTTGGATAGTTTTAATGATTGGGTAGCTTAATTCACCTCCATTCCTCAAGAAACTGCCTGTCACATCAATGGTTATTTCATGAATATAATGACATCTCTGTCACCTAAGATATCATTATTTATCAACAAGTAACTAACAGTCTTATGAATGAGCCTCCACAATGGCATGACTCATGGCATTTATACAGCTTTAATGTGACTCAATATAGCATAGAGGCTGAGTCTGGGCTTTTGGTCCAAATTGCCTGGGTTCAAATCCTAACTCTGCCACTTATTAGCAGTGAGACCTTAGGCAAGTTACTTCTCCGTGCCTTAGTTTCCTCACCTGTAAGATGAAGCTATTAACAATACTTGCATCCCATGGTTGCTGTGAAATTTAAATAAATGAAAATACAAAGTAGCTGGCACTGAGCCAGTGCTCACACAAACGTGACTGTAGCTCTAAGAACCTACAGACTAGTTGGTGGAAAGGGTCAAAGACTGAAAAACAAGTTTAAACTGAATAAAGACAGACTTTGGAATACAGAGTGCTTTCTGGAACTTGAAACATTAAGAAAATCAACTATTTTTTCACATCTTCCCCATCCTCTTCTCTGGGAATAATAAAAATAGAGTAAAATCATTTAAATCCTGAAATAAATACCAGATTTGTAAAGCAAGGACTAAGGTGGTTATACAGCAAGAGATATTTATTGGTTGTGTCTAATTATATGGTTGGTCAATTTCAATTTTGAACTCACTAATTACATATTTCTTCTACAACTAGAAACCATGGGAAGTATTTGCATCAATGGCATAAAGAACTTCCCAACCCTCATTTGAAGAACCTACCACTGTTGCCACAAATTGAAAAGATCTGGAAGAAATCATGCCCACCACACTCAGATTATGCTCGCAGTGGGCATCTTTATATCAAATATGTTTGTTTCTTTTTTCCTTATTGACTGCCCTTGGTTAAAAGCATAGGCTTTGGAAATAAACAAGAGTAAACAATGAAATGCTTAAAGGGATTTTCAGATATATAAATAACAACAAAAATTTAAATAGGTTATGTCTTCGTTTTTTTAAAAATAGACAACTCTATCCAACTTGAAAATTCTGAATGTGTAGGGCCTTCCTAAAATTCCAGATAGGATCTTCACTGGGATGTTAATAATTCCAACTATTGCAGTGCTGGGGAGGGTAAGCCAAGAATATTTATCCAGGCTCCCCCCTTTTATAAATTCTGCTTCTCAAAGGGTCTCTTCTCTTTGACAGAGTCAAATATTCAAGCCAAGTATCTTCCATGGAACAAAAACTATGAGAATAGCTAATCACACCTGTAATCTTTCTGCCAACATCAATAACATAATCTTCACACATTTACATTTACATTTTTGGAACATGATTATCAATGCCATAACACCCAATCTATTTTCATACACAACTGGGCACACAGTTGATCAATTATTCTATCCCATTTCTTATAACCACTTTGGGCACCCAGACTAAATTCTCTTTTAATGTCTAGTGGTCAGGCAAGTTTATGCTTAATATTTTTATGATGATGATCAAGAGTATTACATGTAATTATGCCAAATGGCAATCTGGCCCTGTGGCATTTCATTTCCAAACTATCTTCATTTAATGGCAGAAGGAGAATCTAAATTCAGTTTACTATACTATGTCCATCTTAATTTTACTCAAAATAATGATATAAAAATATTCCTAGGATAATCATAGGGCAATAAAAATTTCCTTTGTTGTTATTAGAGAAGGTTAGAAGAAACTTAGAAGAAAATTATTTGCCAACTCAGATTGTCTTAATTTATTAAAATCTATCTTTTTTTAATTTGAACCTTGAACTGCTTTAATACTACCTGTAAGCACATGTTTTGCCCTTATTTTTTTAATGCCGATTTAAAGAATCCCCCATACATTACTTACTTGTTTAAGCTTCTTTAGATCTTCATCAAGTTCTAAGTTGTCCAAAATAACAGCGACAAACAAACTCAGGAGGATCTATAAAATGGTTAAATAGCAATGAAAAAACCCACACGCCATAAGTATCAAAATATTATATATATGATATAGAATATCTACCTAAAATATACACTTATATAGAATGCATTAAACATGAGTTGTGAATCACTGCATAGGTATTTTAAGATACTTATAGCAAAGACATTAAAGGAACTGCATCTGTTAACTGAAATAAACAATATAAAATATTAATTTGCTTTATAAAACTGATTTAAAATGAAAATTAAGAAACCTTTAAAAAAATAACTCAACAATCTTACTTCTAAGACTGTATTCAAAGAAAATAACCTGAAGTACTAATGAAAACCTTTACGTACAAAAGTGCTTGAGAGATTATTTGTAATAATGAAATACTGGAAATAATATCCAATCTTATGTAAATAGCTAATACAGTTATAGCGATCTCTATTGTAAAATTCATGCAGCCATTACAAATCCATTGTGGTAACTAGTCTCCAGCATTGTGAGTCACTGGTGTTCACAGTCTTGTGGATCCCCTTACACATTGAATATGGCTGGTCTGTATAACCAATAGATTACGGAAAGGACTGTGTGTGACTTATGAGGCTAGGTAGTAAAAGTCATTGTGGCTTTCACCTCGTTCCCCCTTGGATCACACACTCTGCTGGAAGCCAGGTGCCGTGTCCCTGTGAAGAGGCCCATGTGGCAATGAGCTGAGGCCTCCTGCCACAGCCATGTGACTGACCCATCTCAGAAGTGGATCCTTCAGCCCTAGTAAAGCCTTCAGGTGACTGAAGCCCCAGCTAACATCTTGACTGCAAACTCATGGGACACTCTGAACTACAGAAACACCCAGCTAAGCCCGTCTCAGATTCCAGACCTGCAGAATCCACGTGAGATAATAGATGTTTATTGTTGTAAGCTCTTAAGTTGTTCATAATTTGTTCTATAGCAATAGATAACTAATACACTCATGAATTTTAACAGTAGAAAAAATGCTTACAATATTAAATGAGAGTATATATGGTAGAAGTGCAAGTATGTACAAAAAGAAATAATAGAGAAAATGCTAGGAGGAGGTACTTTAGAAATGTTAACGGTGCCTGTCTTTGTGAAAAAAATGGACTCCCCCTCCCTTTTTTTTTGTATTTCACTATATTTTCCCAAATTAAAAAAAGGCATATACTTCATTTGGAATGGGTAAATACGGTAAAAGAAAGAAAACGAAAAAGTAGAATTTTAAAAATATTTTAATTTCTAGTCCCTTTTCAACTTTGAATTCTCTGAAGTACCACATTCATTTGATAATCTTTTTCATTCTTAATATATATTCTTCCTTTTAATTTCCCTCTTGGCAAATTATTCCCATTTGTTACTATTAGACTGTTAAGCACAAAGGTAAGAAAATCGAGGCAATTTAGTCATGACTCTTAAGCACCAGAGAGATTATTATACAGAAGTTAACGGCTAGCTGTTTTCCAAGTTTAATGAGCATATAACAAGGGGAAAAAAAAGCCTCAACTACTATGGAGTTTTGACAACGTTTGGCTCAGGACAATTGCCAGCACTCTTCCTGTGAATAGCCACAGCCTTTGGGATCCTGCCAGAACTTAAAGAGGATACAGAATGGTCTAGAACATACATTTTTCTTTTGTTTAATTCTTTTTAAATTGAAGCATAGTTGATTTACAGTGTTGTGTTAATTTCTGCTGTACAGCAAAGTAATACACACACACACATATATATACATATATATATATATATATATATATATATATATATATATATACTTTTTTATATACTTTCCCATTATGGTTTATTACAGGATATTGAATATAGTTCCCTGTATTATAGGAACAACAGAAGGACCTTGTTGTTTATGAATTCTGTATATAATAGTCTGCATCTGCTGACCCCAAACTCCCAATCCATCCCTCCCGCATACCTCCTCCCCCTTGGCAACCACATGTCTATTCTCTATTAGACCACAGATTTTTTACTGATGTCACCACGTCCACCACACTGTGCACATCTGGGCACAGATATATTCAGGCTTACTCTAAACTAGACATTATTCTATACAGGACATTTCATAGTTCACTCCAAGTCTAGCCCTTGTCCTGTGACCTTGAGGTTGACCTTGACGTTATCATCAAAAGTACTCTCAGTACTCCCTTCTCCTGCTTCCTCTCCCAGACTCAGAGTGGCCACCTGAAGGGCTCCGCTGTGAATCTGAGCTGTCTCACACCACTTCTGTCTCTCCTGGGCACTGGAAGCAGCCCTGGCTCTGTGTCCTAACCTAACAGCCTTTCCTATCTCCCCAGGGAAAGGGCCAACACAAATCTAAAAAGAAAAAAATAATTTCCCTGATTAAAAAAGGGAAAGCCACAGTTCCCCTCCCTTTGCTTAGTGCATTTCCTTGAAAACGTATGCTTATAAATTCTGTCCCTTTGAGATGTATACAGATCTTTTTAAAAGCTAAATAAGTCTCATCATTTTACAACCCAGGAAGAGTGCCCTGTCTCCCCTTCTCCATGGGAAGTTGGGACTATAACTTAGCCACCTGGACCCATGTTGCAAAACTACCTATTTATCATGGAGATATGAAAAGTTTTATTTTCCTTCGGGTAAAGGCAATTAGCTATCACAGAGGGCCGTCCCAGTTACCAGGTGAATTTAGGGGGAACTGTATTTAACTAATGATGCCGTCGAGTCTTCTTGCCTGAGGACTACTTGTTTTCATCCTGAGAGAATGGATGTGTTGTGGGGATGTGTATCAAAGGGTGACACGGCTTTCTGTCTTTGCGATCACTTTGCTGGACTGCCCACGATGCCCATCACAGTCTGGTTTAGTGCTATTCAATAATAAGACTGTTTTCTTTCTTGTCTACCTTGGTGGAGGTTTTCTGGATTGTCAGATTTTATTTTTAATTATTCTCCCAACACCAGACAGATGGCAGGCTACTTAACCACAGCAAGGTTATGCTATTCGATTAAATTGGACTCTGTCGCTGTGTCAGATACTGCCTGGTCAGGAACATAAATGCGATACCATGCTCACCGCTACGAAGTTCACAATCGAATTAAGCAGACGTGGGTTGGCAGCCTGGTGGAAAAGAGCAATGTGGTTGGAGACCTTGGCCGGCAAATAGGCTCTGACAGTCACCAGCTGCGTAGCAACCACTAGCCCACTGTGAATTTCAGTGCTCTCATTTGTAAAATACAATGGCTACAATAATAATAGCTTGACAAATTGCAGCTATAGTATTTTTTCATTTAATCCTCCCACAAGAACCCTGGGGTGTGGTATAGCCTATATGAAAATACACAGACGTAAACTTAGATATGCAACACTAAAACAGTTTTCTTCATATTTTTACGTATCAGTTGAATGTAGTCCATAAGCCCTCCATTTGTGTTGATGGCTGAAAACCGAATCTTGCTACATGAATCCAATTTTGTCCTTTAAAACTTAAGTTACATTTGAATAAATGCTCCTTTTCTTTGTAGGTCTGGTTTAAAGTCAAAGATGTGATGGTCATTGGCCTCTGGTCCACTGTGGCCATGTGACTGGTCCTCTGTCCCCCATCAGGGGCAGTGATGGCGCTTATTTGGGGGACGCTGGGCTTTCTCTCTGCTGAATTGGTCACCACCTCAGTTCCTGCAGCTCCTGCTAAGATCTCTGGTTCTCAGTGACACCCCTTGTTTTAGTTTCCTGGGGCTGCTGCAACAAATTGCACTAGCTTTGTGACTTAAAACAACAGAGGGGCATTCTATGACAGTTCTGGAGGCCAGAAGTCCAAACTCAGCTGTCGGCAGGATCACACTCCCTCCAAAGGCTCTAGGGGAGGATCCTTTCTTGCCTCTTCCAGCATCTCGTGGCCCCAGGCATTGCCTGGCTTGCAGCAGCCTCACTCCACAATCTCTGTCTCTGTCTTTTCCTCATACTCCCTGCATCTTGTCCTCACCCTTCTCTTATAAGGACACTTGTTATTGGACTTGAGGCTTAACTGGATAATCCAGATTAATCTCATCTCAAGATCCTTAATTTAATTGCATCTGAAATGACCATCTTCCCAAATAAGGTCACATTCACAAGCCTGGGAGTTAGGACATGGATATACTTTTGTGGAGCACCCATTCAATCCCCTCTACTCTCTATCTGGTCTCTAATTTGGGCCCTTGTTCTAGCAGTAGTGTTCTTCTTACTCAGTGGCTTTCAACTCTCAAGGAAGTTTGGAAGTTCTGCCATTCCAGGTGGAGGCTAAGGGAGACTGTTTTTTTTGGGGGGGATCTTTCAGACTCTCTCTACCTAGACCTCTCAGGCAGCTACACAGCTCTCTGTGGGCTGCCCCTCATCCGTGTCGGCCCCTAGCAAGGCTCTCTCCCCATCAAGTTCAGACAAGAAGTGGTTGCAGGTCTTGGTTGTCAACACACCAACGATGGTGTGACGTGCCACCATTGTCGAAATGCACCGCCTCCCTGTCTCTCTCTGGGCCCTTCTGCCTCCCTCATGCTTCATCCCCAGAAAACGTTCTTATTTCCCCTCAGAAAGCAGGGATGTGAAGGAACATGGGAGCAGGGGCTTGGAGCGGGGGCACACGTGTGTGAAGACTGACAACCAGAAACTAAACTCAACCAGGGTATCCCAGGTTTGGTCCTGTGCCACCTGAGCACTCCGACTTCTCAGAGCTGAGCTGGGCCGATGTGTCTGGGTGCCTCTTCTGAACGCTGCTCATCTAAGATCATGAGGGGCTGGTCATGAGTCCAGCCAGGTGCTACCAGGATAGCAAGATACCAAGGAGAAGGAGGTTTCTGGCAGGAAGGGAATTGTGAGAAAGTCTTTCCAGGTGGCATGAGGGAAGACAGGGCCTTGGGAGTATGGGGCTAACTAGGGACCTGGTGAGCAGGTGAGTATGGCCAGAGCATGGATGCCTGGAAGGAGGCTGGGGGAGCCTGAGAGGTAGGCCTGGGGGCTGGCAGTTTGCCCAAATGCCACCAAGGGAGGTCGGGAGGTG